GATTTGGTATACTTCTTTTGGTAGTAAAATATACATCCATAAAATCCACCATTTTAACCATTTTTTAGTGTACATTTCTAATGTAGTGAACTACATTCACTTATTTTTTTCTTCTGCTTCAATATACTTTTTTTTCTGAAATGGTTATGTTAAAATAGTTCACAGTTTTGTGATTGAGACTCAAAGCTGTGCATGTATCAAATGGCAGTGTTGTGTGTTATGAAGAAAAGAGGTTTTGTTTGTTGAGTTTTTGTTAAGAAACTTCTAGTATGTCCAACTGAACAGGTCGTAGGAAGAGAAAAACCAGTGGGAACTTAGGAAAACAAGCTTATTAGTTTGAATGTATGTGTGTTCAGTTCAATTTTAGTTAAACAAAATATGTTTAGGGAGCTGTAAAGCCTTCACTGCTGTATAGAAATCTCATTTAATTATGGTTCCTAAAAGTAGATAAGCAACAATGTAAACAAAAAAGGAAATTTAAAAGTATTAAAATATTTGTACATTTTCCCCTAATATTTTGAAATTATTTCTAAAATTTAAAATCAACCTTTTCATCATGAGATTAGACATCTTTATGGTATGATATAGATATTTTAGAAACAGTGCTCATAGTCAAATCAATGTCTTATATTGTTTTAATAAAAGAATAAAATGTATGTCTACTACATTACTGTTTCTGAGACTTATTTCTGATGATTAAACACTTTACTTAAAATATTGATTAATTTAAGAAAACAATAGATCCAAAAGTATTATCTGAAAATGTTAAAAGACCATAGAAACAAAATTTGGTTTATTTATTTATTTATTTATTTATTTATTTATTAATTATTATTGGAAGGGAGGGGGAGAGACAGAGAGAGAAACATCGATGTGAGAGAGACACGTTGATTGGTTGCTTCCTGGGTGTACCCTGTCCAGGGCTAGGGATCAAGCTTGCAATCTAGGTACCGTATTTTCCGGCGTATAAGACGACCCCTAATTTTATAGTTAAAACATAGGTTTAGGCCTATATTCGCTGTATAAGACTACCCCTCACTTCCGAGGCAACGCCAGTTCTTTTTTTAATAGACCGCCTCGAAGCTACACTGTGTTCTAGTAAAAAGCCTGCTCAGATTGGCCAGCGTCAGAGAGGCGGTCTATTAAAAAAAGAACTGGCATTTCCTCGAAAGTGGGGGGTAGTCTTATACAGCAAATATAGGCCTAAACCTATGTTTTCACTGTAAAATTAGGGGGTCGTCTTATACGCCGGAAAATACGGTATGTGCCATACGCCAGGACCCTTCAGTTCACAGGCCAACACTATTCACTGAGCTAATCCACTAGGGCTATGTATTTGATTATTTAACCTCTTTAAAGGTGATCCCTTTTGTGAAATGATAATTTGGAAACTTAAACATAGAATGTTAGGAAATAAGATTGAGCTCCATGCTGACTTATTCTTGGACCCCCTAGAATATGAGGTTAAGCTTGAATTTAGGGGACCTCTCACAAGATGCTGTTCTTCCTAATAAATTTAAACTTTTTGGTAAGCTCCTCTAAGATAAATTTGGGGAGGGATTGGTACTTTAGCCTTTTCCCTTAACTCCAGAGTCAGAAAGTTTAGCTTTTTGATAAATAGGGAGCTCCCACACTTTATAATAATCTTTTGGATAGGCCTTCTGGATACTGGTGACAATCCAATCATCTAATAAGCTGAAAGCTGATGAGAGCATGCCTGAACCAAGAATGAACTTGGTTTCTCTTGGAAAGTACAAAAAGTGCCTGTCTTCTCAATACACAGATAACTGCAATGGATTTGTTCTCATTTCATCATCCAATATGTTTTGTATTTATCAACATGAAAGATTTATAACCCAGACGTCAACTTTTTTTCATTTGGGGATATCCCTTGTCTGTTTACCTGAACAGTCTTTTTTCACCAACAACCTGCCAACATCTTGAGGGAAAAAAGACTTGGGGGTATAGGGTTTGGCAAAGGGGCATGGTGGTGAAAAACCTCAGAGGGAGATTTGGAGTCATCCATCTCCCCTGACCACTCTGACAGTCTCACTTTCCCTCCTCCTGACTCTCCAGCGCATAGTATGACCTTGATAGAGCAGACCTAGAGGAATCCGAGTCCTGAAATTCTTCTAGAATATTTTGAATGCTAGTCAACAGTAGACAAGCTAATTATTTGTTCACATGCCCTATGATCAGTTTTTTTTTTTTTTGCTTATTTGTAATAATTTTGTTATTTTGTCCTTTGTGAAATGACAATCTCAGATCATATCTTTTGGAAAAAGTTTTATTATCATGTGGAAATTTCAAGTCAAAGCAAAAAACACAGGTATTATAATAAGGGCAGGTGGATTCTTTTGTAGGCTAGATATAAGACATTCATCCCTGGGAGGCTTAACTTACTAGGAGAGAAACTGTCTTGACTTAAGGAGATTTAAGGAGATCTTACCACAAAGAAGGGAGGCTTATAAGAGAAATCTCTTCTGAAAGCAGGAGTTTTGTTCTCATAAACAAATGGTGGCTCAGATCATGAGTAGAGCGCCAGACAGTGAAGGTTGGCGTAATAACACATAATAGTGCACCGGGTACAGGAACTGTGACGTGCACTTAAGGGGAATGCTAATTTCCCATCTGAAGTTTGTTAGGAACTATTAGATGTTTTATAACTCTGTTGACAGTCATCTTATTTGGAACATGATCTGCTTACATAAAAATAAATTTTAATGTGAAAGCTCTCATTAGCTTAAATGACTAGTCAAATGGTAGCTTTAAAAGCTTGAGTCACTGTCTAATTTACCCTCACAATTCACAGTATCCCTCTCTAGTTTACTTGCTAGATTAATCCCATCTCAGCAGTGCCATTAGGTGCCTGCCTTGATGGTGTGGAAAAATACACACAAGCATCTGATATTCCCGAGTGTGTGGGTTGTGACGATTTAAATGTGTTCCAACAGCACCTCTGCACATAAACAATTGTTTTTAACTTCAGGATGAGGAATTTGGCACGATGGGATAATTAAAAATAACAGCCTTTTGGAAAAGCAGAACAAAGTTCTTTAAAGCCAGGGCACCGAGAAGCAAGATTCTGTCATCTAAATTGGGTAACATATCATTGTCACTTTAAAAAAGGTATGCATGGATCAGCCCACCAACATTCTACAACTTAAGCAAAATTTGTTTCCTTTTCATGGGCAAGGCTGTAGTTAATTGACTAATAAATCATTGTGCCTTTTCCCAAGTCATCAGATAGGGAGGCTCTTACTTAATGAAGAGATTCTACCCTGTTTTAAAAGGATGTCGGTGAAGGAGGCAGCCTAGACTACTTTGGCTCTACTTTTCAGTACCATGCGGCTGTTTTTAAATACTTTTCGTTTATCACTGAACATTTGTCTTAGATGCTCAGAGGTCAGAAAGAATAATTTTTTTGTAATCTCCAATGTCCTGGTCTGTGCCTACTGATGGTCCTCCAAGGACCACATGTGTGAGCAAATGCTCCTCTTCCTTCAAAAGAGAATGACTTTAGAAGCACTTGCAGTGTACAAACAGTATATGTGCATTTTCTCTCTTGAGTCTCGTCAGAACACCCTATTGTGGAGAAAGATTATTCATTCCTGTCTAAAGCAGAAATAAAGATTCAGAGAGGGCAAGCTCAGTGACTTACAAAGGACATACTACTGAGTGGGATAACAACAATTGAGACCAGTTATTTTTGCTCCTTCCACATGCTCCTCTTTGATATGCTTACAAAACTGGACACTATAAAATGCATGAAGGTGCTTTTGGGGAAGTTGCTTCTGGGAGAATTATCTGAATTGACAATGTGGTTGGGAGCATTATTAACCTGAGTTCCTGGTCTGAACAGAGGAACATATGAAAGAATATCTTGTTTAAGTGGCATCGGTCAGATGTTCAGTGCCAACGAAGTGATAGACACAGCGGACAGTCAAGGACTCAGATGAAGTCCATCATCTCATAATGAAGAGGATTCAGAGGACTGGACGTATAGCTCAGGAAAGACAATAAGAAGGCCCAGATACACCCAAGGAGGAAATAGCCACAGGAGAGCATTGACCTGAATAAGATACACTAATCTGAATGGTTGAAATGAGCATGCTGCTTAGGGAAGGGTGAAATGGGCTGAGGAGACCGGGTTTCAGAGACTTACGTTCCAAGCACACTTACAGGCTTACAGGCCGGGGGAAAGGCAGGGTGCACACATTTCCTGTGCTATCTGTGGCAGAGGGCTTTGACACTTCACTTCCATTGGAGGGACCTTAAAGGTGAGTGGAGCTAGTCATGTATCTGCTCGGTGCTAAGTTGGGGCTGTAACCAATAGCAGTAGACTGAGATGCAGATGCAGATTCCCGAATGTTCATTTCAATTGTATACCTGGGTCTGAACGTTTGCTCAAGCAAGAGTTATTGTCCGCTGTCAGCTCTCAGTCCAACTTCCAATACCCTCATGTGCTTCAAAATAGTTTGAGGGGGAAAAATAATCCTCAGTTAAGCTATAGTGTAAGCCCTTATTTGTAATGTAAAGTATGCTAAGGTTAAAATCTTTTATTTGAACTCGTTTTAAGTATTCAACTTATGTGGTTGTTAAGTACCAATAAGGAAAACTTTCAAAAGAAACCCAGCTCTATCTGTTTCTTTCACCCACCTGTATGGACTCAGCAAGGTTGTCAAATTGCCAACACGTTAGAGCTCCTTACAAAATTGCTTTAATGCGCAAATGAGCGATTTGCAGTTAGCTTAATAGTGCTTGATTTTACTTCAAAGAACACGCAGGCACTTGAAAAGTAAGTATTTTTTTTTTGAACCAAATAACCTCAATTTTCTCAGCAGTCCCTCTTTTCTGAAACAGTGGAGAGGAACATTCTAGGCCAGCCTCCGTCCAAACAACCGTCATATCTGAACGGAGTCTGAGGAGCCCACAGAGTGTTAGTGAAGGTCCCTGTTGTCCAAAGGCCACGGCTTCATTATTTCCCGGTTGTTTTGCAGGATCCTGCGACCCAGAAGGGCGGCGGCCGGAAGAAGACGGTGTCCTTCAGCAGCATGCCGTCGGAGAAGAAGGTCAGCAGCGCCAGCGACTGCATCAGCTTCATGCAGGCCGGCTGCGAGCTCAAGAAGGTGAGGCCCAACTCGCGCATCTACAACCGCTTCTTCACCCTGGACACCGACCTCCTGGCTCTCCGCTGGGAGCCGTCCAAGAAGGACCTGGACAAAGCCAAGCTGGACATCTCCGCCGTCAAGGAGATCAGGCTGGGCAAGAACACGGAGACGTTCCGGAACAACGGCCTCGCCGACCAGATCTGCGAGGACTGTGCCTTTTCCATCCTCCACGGGGAAAACTACGAGTCTCTGGACCTCGTGGCCCACTCGGCAGACGTGGCGAACATCTGGGTGTCGGGGTTACGGTACCTGGTTTCCCGGAGCAAGCAGCCCCTCGATTTCATGGAGGGCAACCAGAACACGCCCAGGTTCATGTGGCTGAAGACGGTGTTTGTGGCGGCGGACGTGGACGGGAACGGGATCATGTTGGAAGACACCGCGGTGGAGCTGATCAAGCAGCTCAACCCCACCCTGAAGGAGTCCAAGGTCAGGTTGAAGTTTAAGGAGATCCAGAAGAGCAAGGAGAAGCTCACCACCCGCGTGACCGAGGAGGAGTTCTGCGAAGCCTTCTGCGAGCTTTGCACCAGGCCCGAGGTGTATTTCCTACTCGTGCAGATATCCAAGAACAAGGAGTACCTGGACGCCAACGACCTGATGCTCTTTTTGGAAGCCGAGCAGGGGGTCGCCCATATCACGGAGGACATGTGCTTGGACATCATTCGGAGATACGAGCTTTCTGAGGAGGGGCGTCAGAAAGGGTTCCTCGCCATCGATGGCTTCACCCAGTATCTGTTGTCGCCGGAGTGCGACCTTTTCGACCCGGAGCAGAGAAAGGTCGCCCAGGACATGAGCCAGCCGCTGTCTCACTACTACATCAGCGCCTCGCACAACACCTATCTCGTTGAGGACCAGTTCCGGGGGCCGGCGGACATCAATGGCTACGTGAGAGCCTTGAAGATGGGCTGTCGGAGCATCGAGCTCGATGTGAGCGACGGCCCCGATAGCGAGCCGGTCCTCTGCAACCGCAACAACGTGAGCACGCACCTGTCCTTCCGCAGTGTCCTGGAGGTGATCAACAAGTTCGCCTTCGTGGCTTCCGAGTACCCGCTCTTTCTGTGCCTGGGGAACCACTGCTCGCTGCCCCAGCAGAAGGTGATGGCCCAGCAGATGAGAAAGGTCTTCGGCACCAAGCTCTACACCGAAGCGCCCTCGCCGTCAGAAGCCTACCTCCCCTCCCCCGAAAAACTAAAAAGGAGGATCATCGTAAAAGGGAAGAAACTGCCTCCTGACTCAGAGGCCTCCGAGGGAGAGGTGACCGACGAAGACGAAGAAGCCGAGATTTCTCGGAGGATGTCGGTGGACTACAACGGCGAGCAGAAACACATCTGGCTGTGCAGGGAGCTCTCTGACTTGGTGTCCATCTGCCAGTCCGTGCAGTACAGGGACTTCGAGCTGTCCATGCGAAGCCAAAGCTACTGGGAGATGTGCTCGTTCAGCGAGTCCGAGGCCAGCCGCATCGCCAACGAGTACCCGGAGGACTTCGTGAATTACAACAAGAAGTTCTTGTCCAGGATCTACCCCAGCGCCATGAGGATCGACTCCAGCAACCTGAACCCGCAGGACTTCTGGAACTGCGGCTGCCAGATCGTGGCGATGAACTTCCAGACGCCGGGCCCGATGATGGACCTGCACACGGGCTGGTTCCTGCAGAACGGGGGCTGCGGCTACGTGCTCAGGCCGTCCATCATGCGGGACGAGGTGTCCTACTTCAGCGCCAACACCAAGGGCGTGGTCCCCGGGGTGTCTCCCCTCGCCCTGCACATCAAGATCATCAGCGGCCAGAACTTCCCCAAGCCGAAGGGGGCGTGCGCCAAGGGGGACGTCATCGACCCCTACGTGTGCATCGAGATCCACGGCATCCCCGCGGACTGCGCCGAGCAGAGGACGAAGACCGTGCAGCAGAACAGTGACAACCCCATCTTCGACGAGACGTTCGAGTTCCAGGTGAACCTCCCCGAGCTGGCCATGATCCGCTTCGTGGTCCTGGACGACGACTACATCGGGGACGAGTTCATCGGGCAGTACACCATCCCCTTCGAGTGCCTGCAGCCCGGCTACCGGCACGTGCCCCTGCGCTCCTTCGTGGGGGACGTCATGGAGCACGTCACCCTCTTCGTGCACATCGCCATCACCAACCGCAGCGGCGGCGGGAAGCCGCAGAAGCGCAGCCTCTCCGTGCGGATGGGCAAGAAAGCCCGGGAGTACACCATGCTCAGGAACGTGGGCCTCAAGCCCATCGATGACATCTTTAAAATAGCGGTGCATCCCTTACGAGAAGCCATAGACATGAGGGAGAACATGCAGGTAGGACAAACCCCCGCTTGCCTCCCTGGCCCCTGCTTCCTTTGACCTCACTCTTACCAGTGAACGTGGTGACTTAGTAGGAATCTGATTCCTCAAGCAATAGATCAGAAAGGTGGAAGGTACGCAATATCACTGAATTAAGTTCCGTTTTACCTGTGATAAAGCAGATCTATTTTATGTTTCTAGTTGTAATGCTGTGTTACCTATGGCCTGCACTAAGCTAGTGACCAGAGTGTCATTGTAGCGAAATGCTGCAAATCTATTAAATATCCCTAGTATATAACTAAACTGATAGATGAGAATGTGAATGTGAAGTGTGAAAAGAATATAAAATATTATATATAATATATATATACATACAAACACATGCATAATCATTACAACTACATATATATATATATAAAATATTTGCCGATATGAACATGGAAGGTAATTTGAAGTCATATAAAGCAAGTGTAATGCCTATTAGATTTTGTTGTTTAAATGTACAGCAATAATAAATTACTCCCCACAAGAGTGAGCAAAACTAAACAAGCAAAAATGAACTTATTAAAAACTATTTAATATTCTCTTAGAAATGTGGTTTAATGGGAAGGATATAGATTTTTGATTAAGCTGTATCCCCTTGTGATCTTGAGCAAATTATTTTAGGTTTCTCATCATCACTTTTCTTCACATAAGGTCAGAAAAATGGTAATACGTACATCACAGGATTATTATGAGAATTAGGTGAGAGTGTGTGTGAATGGCCCAGTCTCAGCATAATGTTAGTTTCCTTCCTTTCATTAGTGTTGGTAACCAGAGACGGCTGCAGGCTTCCTTCTTCAATGTGATTGAGTATACTCATTCTAACTCCTGTCACTGTGCAGCCATCTGACTCCAGGCCCTCACGAAGTGCCCACATGCGTTGGTTTGCAGAAGTGGCAGTGGTGTTTGCATGAGAGAGAACAGGGAGGCATCTATCAGTGCCCTTCATTTGCCCCTCTAGCTAACAGTTTATTATACTATAACTCTCAGTGAAAAACCCCACTTTCAAAATAGAAACCCAGCTTGAAGTGGTTAAGTAATTGTCCAAATATTACAGTGAATAAATAGCGATGTTCGGCTTTAAATCCAGAATTGCCTGCGATGGATATGCATGACCATTCATGGCTGTTAGTCACATGATGTCGAACTTCATACTCATCAGTTGGTGAAAAGATTACTTTCACATTATTTCACAAAGAAGTTCTAGGATAGGCTTAAAACAATTTTAAATAGCCAAAATGCCAAAAGATAATATGGTTTGTTAATCACATATAAATATTTAGGTTATAAGGATTATTTAAAAATAGGCTCCAAATAGCAACATCTTCTACTGACTTTCTGACATAATTCTATAGCTAATATATATCCCTATATTACATTAGTTATAAGTCAATTTTACATCTAACTTAATGTTAGAAGATAGATTTTATATATTTCTATATAATTCTTAAAACATATACATTGCATATATTATGTACTTAAAACACATATTAAGGCCCAGCTGGCATGGCTCAGTGGCTGAGCCTCGACCTATGAAACAGGAGGTCCTGGTTTGATTTCCGGTCAGGACACATGCCCAGTGTGGGGCCTGCAAGAGGCAACCGATTGATGATTCTCATCATTGATGTTTCTATCTTTTTCTCCCTCTCTCTTCCTTGCTGAAATCAATAGAAATATATTAAAATAAAATAGATATTAAGGAGATTTGGCTATGGATAAAGTTTTTCCAAGTATGATTGATGATAATTTATACCATCTCAGCATAAAGTCCTTGGGGGTTACAGATTACTCGGAGCCTAAGGAGTAGAGAAATGAATACTGTCATTGTCACTAAATCCATGAGGCACATATACGTAGGTTTGGTGCTGTTCACCATTAATAAAACAGAATAGTTATCATGTCTTATGACTTTAAATGAACTTTTAAAAGCCTGCTTAACAGAACTCTTAAATGCAGTTCTTCATGAACTGTGTGTCAGCGCCCGCGTCTGCAGGTGCTTTCCTGCTGGGATGACTGAGGAATACCATTGATGGTGAGTCAAAAGAGGATGATCTTTAACAGCCTGCTGCCCCGAGGAAAAGCTTAAAGGAGGTGTACTCCAGTGTGCTGACATGTTTTAATGAGCATCATGATACAAACCCAGTAAGACACTCAGGACCAGCCAGTGCTCTTGTGTGTGACTATGCCAGGGCTCTGCGTGGGCAAGTGCTGCGTAGCCTCGGGGCATAATCTGAGAGGCTTTGTGGCATGTCTGTGGCAGTTGCTAGAGGTGGAGGAAGATGAAGGATGACAGTGAGCTGGCTCTGGGTTACCTTTGTGCACATCACAACGTTTCTGGTTGGTTATGATCCAGTTCAGGTTAAATTACACGAGCATTTAAGGGAGTGCTTTTAATGAATGCACGTCTGTGTGAACCCAGAAGTGCTGGGGTGATGTGTCACGTGGTCAGATGTGTAATCCTGTGTTTCCTTGCCCTCAGAATGCCATTGTGTCCGTGAAGGAGCTGTGCGGCCTGCCTCCCATCGCCAGTCTGAAGCAGTGCCTGCTGACCCTGTCCTCACGCCTCATCGCCAGTGACAATACTCCCTCCGTGTCCCTCGTGATGAAGGACAGCTTTCCATATCTGGAGCCGCTGGTGGCGATGCCGGACGTGCAGAAAAAGATGCTGGCCGCCTATGACCTGGTAGGAAGTAATGACTGTATTTCTGACGTGTGTGTGTGTGTGTGTGTGTGTGTGTGTGTGTGTGTGTGTGTGTGTGTCGGGGAAATCATACGGAGGCATTTTTGAGGGACATTAATGAGTGACACTGAGTGATGGCCTTTGAAACCCGAGCTGGGGATGGAGGCAGGGCCAGCCACTTGGCTTCCCCTGAGCCCGGGGCAGACCTCTCAGGCTGCGCTCTGAGCCCCGAGCTCCACAGACTGCAAATGGAAAATCTCTTTTAGCAAAGAATGAATTATTGATTAAGTCCTCGAAAGCATCCATATCCCATCATCTAAATAGCGTTAGCCAACAAAAGAGCCATTTAATTGCACACCCATAGGGAGTGCAATTAAACCTCTATGCTGCCTTATGATGGTTGAGAAAACAGTTTTTAGGAATTTATATTTGTAAGCTAATACTATTCTCTAATTTTTCTGAATGTGTCATGGATTTATATAGCAATTAAACTTAAGAATCACTATTTTTTTCCCCATAAAAAATGAAGTAGTAAATAACAAATTGGAAAATTTTGTAATGTGCAAGCCAGATAAAGTAAATATTCTTAAAATAGAATGAGTACTTGAAAATTGATAAGGAAAAATATGGGGAATAAAATTTTACATTAATCAGGATCAAGTGCAGCTTCAGGAAACTAAAATGCAAGTAATTATGGCTTAGAAAATACAAAGTTTTATTCTCTCCCATAAAAATCTGGAGACCAGCCAAACAAGGTGGCTCTTGGCGTCTGCTCCACCATCCCTACTCCATCCTTATGGTCCAGAACGGCTGCTGGAACTCCAGCCATAGCATCTGCATTTCAGCTAACAGGGAGGATAGAGCAGAACTATAGGCCATATCCTTTCCCTTTGAGGATATTTCTTTGAAATAGCATACATAAGTTTTGCTCATGTATCAGCCTGGAGTTGACACAAAGACACACTCAGATGCAAAGGAGGATGGGAAATGTCTTCATTTCCAAATGTTCAACTGAAAGTCCATCTCTTCTATTACTGAGAAATAAAGGGATAATGGGCATGAGGGAATCACAAATAGTCTTGATTTCAAAGGTGAATGGACGATTCATGTGTCTCTTCTACCCCAAAATATAATGGAAATATAAAAACATTTAACCTTGAAATACATTTAAATGAAAGATATTAAAGAAATGTAGTGACATACTTCCCCTCTGCATTAAATTGGCATTGTCTTTTTTAAACAGCACCTCTGATAAGGAATTTAAGAAAATTTAAGATACTGCCATCCATCCACCTCTAGTGGGGAAATAAGTTGATATAATTTAGGGGGAGAACAATTCGGAAAGAGAATTTAAAATGTTTATCCCATTTGATCTATATATTTCATTTCCAGGTAATTATTTTCTAAGCCAACAAATTTGTATATAAATATTTGTATTTTAAAATGTCAACATAGAGGGGGTGGTTAAATAAAATATGGTAAACCATGTCATGCACTTGGTGGAAACCATTAAGATCATGCATTGGAAGAATATGTCATGATGTGGAGAACACATATCGTGTTTTGTGAAAAACTCTGGCTCCAAAAATATACCTTAGAGTATTTTAACTGTATTTGTATGTCTACACATCTAAAATGCTAACAGGATATTATTAGTGGTTTTAAATAAGAGGAATTTTATTTTCTTGTGTATACTTTTCTATATGTATTTACCAAACTCTTCACAATGAACCTGAGTAATTTTCCTAGTTCAATAAAAATAAGTGTTAAGGAAGAAGAGAATAATACTAGTATTTTATCATGAAAAAACCAAGTAGATGACCTTTGGGATAAACATCCTGTAATGGAAAAAGAAAAGTACCCCACAGAGTGTATTCTGCTTATGAATGATGGGCCCTCTTATAAACTCTACTCCATGGTTACGGGAGGAAAAGTTCGCTTATTGCCTATATCTCATTTTCCACAAAAATCAATTTTTCATCATAAAAATGGGAACTGAAAGCTATTCAGTGAATAGGTATAATTGCCATCTAAGAGGTGAAATTAGGGTGCTAGTTGCCATAGAGACAGTGGAAGTCACTTATTCTTCCAATTCCCTTGTAAGCGAAGAAAGAAAAGTTATTGCTGAGCGGGAGGCTGGTGCCCTGCAGCTGGGCCTGAAATGAGCAGCAAAGCACTGGACAGTGGTTGGCCGTGTCCATTCCACATCCCCGAGGGTCCAGTGCTGTCTGTTTTTCAGTTTCACCTGCTGGACACCAGCCATTTCTCATTTAGATTTTTAAAATGCAATTTTTAATTTTAGGCATAGGATAGTTTCCAAAGCTTAAAGTAAAAGCCACACTAGCAAGCAGAAATGCTTCTTTGATAGTTGTCTATGGAGTGATTAAAAAAAATTTTTTTTTTTGGTAGAGAGTTGAGTAGAAATGTCCTTGTACCAAATGGTAACCTCAGCAGATTGTGCATGTGATCAAAAACACTGCTGACCTCTGTGGCTATTTCTTTAGGGGGTAGAGTGGGTAGGGATAGATGAGTGTCATGATGATCTTGACCTCGAATGTAAAAATGGATTTTTACTTTCTAGGATCTGAATTGTAATGGTTGGCATCTTTATACTCTTGGTGTATTAATGTTAGTATTTATTTAAAGGACGTCTCCTAAGATACTCAGTAGATCCTGAGTGATCATTTAAAAACACAAATCAGAGCAGGTCACTTTCCTGCTCTAAAATCCTCCAGTGGCTGCCCATTACAATGAATTGGGAGTTCTTCACTGTGGCCTCTGGGTCCATCCATCAGCTGGCCTTGCCCGCCTGTCTCCCCTGCCTCTCCCAGCCTCACCCTCACACTCTCTCTTCGGCTCACTCCCTCATTCAAAATTGGCTTTCTTTCTTTCTTCAACCAGATCAAGCTTGTTTGCATCTCTAGGCCATGTTATTTGTGGTTTCTTCTGCCTAGAAAGTTCTCTCTTGCAAGGATAGCTGCTTCATATCCTTTAATTCCTAACTCACGGGCCATATCCTGAGAAGCCTTCCCTGCCCTGGCTGGGAAACTCAGTTGGTTAGAGTGTTGTCTCGCTATCGCAAGGTTGCAGGTTTAATCCCTGGTCAGGGCATACAGGAAGCAACCAATGAATGCATGAACAAGTGGGACAACAAAAACTCTTCCTCTCTACTCCCCTCCTCCCTTCCTTCTTCCCTCACTATCTGTGCTCGGCAAGCACGGCCTAGGGTGAACCTAAGGAGGGGTAGTGAAGGATTGAAGAAAAGACAGAAAGAGAATACAGCTGGGGCTCTGTGGATCTCCTGTGCCTGGATGAGGACACAGAAGACCCAGCCTGCAAGCCGATGCTTTGTTTTATAGTCTGATTTAAACAAGGGTAGATTAACAGGTATACAGATGTTCTTCTTTTGACAACACTTGCTGCACCTCCCACAGCCCATTAACTACTTAGGAAGGAATTAGGGAGGACAAGGTCAGGCTTAATTGTGCTATGAGAGCTCTGCCCTCCAGACCGGGACTTGTTTTGTGGCCCTGACAGGGGTCAGCCCAAGGCTTGACCCTGGAGCTGCTCCCCACAATTATCCCTCTCTTAAGCCAATCAAGAAAAGACAAGCCTTCCCTAGCCTCTGTTCCCACCTGTCACTCTATCCCATAACTCTGTTTTATTTTCATCATGCTACTTAGCAGCTTTGAAAAATATTTTGCTTGACTTTTCGTTTAATTTCAGTTCTTCTCCTTCGTCCCTGAACTTGAATGTATAACTTAGAGAGGGCAGAGACCCTGTCTGTCTCACTTACTGTTATCTCTAGCAGCTAAGACAGCGCTGGCATGTAGCAAGTTACCCATTTATGAGTAAAAAGTAAATAAAAACATCTATTCTTGGTGAAAATAGCGTAGTTCTCATGCTGTAAATGAATGTGGTGGGTCTTCAAATTTCCTCTGTTTAACTCTGTGACACCACCCTAGCTAAATTTTTTCCTGTCTTAGCCACAAAGTTATAAGCCAATAGACTAAGGTGAAATGGTGGAGACAGTAAAAAGACCAGAAGACCAGTAGTTGCAAGGAGCTGGGAGTGGTGAGGATGGGGAAAGAGAGAAAGAGAGAAAGAGAGAAAGAGAGATAGGGAGAGAGAGAGAGAGAGAGAGAGAGAGAGAGAGAGAGAGAGAGAGAGAGAGAGAGAGAGATGAGTAAGTGGTACATGTGAGTTTTAGGGCAGAGAAACTATTCTCTGTGATATTGTAGAAGTGGATACATGTCACTATGCATCTATAAAAACCCACTGGGTATGTAACACAAAGAGAGAACTTGGATATAAACTGTGGATATTACCTATTAATAACATATAAATACCTGCTCATGAATTGTAATATATGCACCACACTAATGCAAGATGATACCAGTAGGGAAAACTGGGGGTAGGTGAGGTGAGAAGGTATATGGAAACTCTTTGTTCCTTCCGCTCAATTGTTATGAAAACATAAAACTTCCCATAAAAATAATCTTTAAAAACCTTAGAGATGTTAACAAGAACTTAGTTGGATGACTAAGGCAGACAGCAAATCCAGGGCTTATTTCTTAATGGTGGCGGTGGTAGGGGGCAGGTATTCTAAAATGAACAGCTTGCATGTTCAACCTGCACTCAAGTAGCCTAAATGTTTAAATTTCTCAAATATGGTAATGAACTATGTATATGCCATCCAAGAGAAAAAATACAGAAAAGAACATGAAGTCATTCTGAACAGATACAAATGTTTGGCTTACTTCTGTGTCAAAAGAAACGAATCAGGAAATCAGGTAACCTACATTCATTGATAGCCAAACTAACTGTATCAATTTATACTACTGATCAAGAGGAAATAAATGAAACTGTTCTAGAAAACATCGACCCTGAGTTCATCTGCACAGATCCTTTTCTAAATTTAGGTTTTCCCGAATGACCTCTGTTGACCCTAGCCCTTACCAAACTGGCTAATTTAAGACTTGAAAATACTTCCTCTTAAGGGT